CCTTCTTCTTCTTCTTCTTCCTTTTCTTCCGGACATCCAATTGAAAAGTTTGCTTTGCATTGCGTCGTCGCGCTAGCAATTGCACAAGTTATACAGCCAATGATGATGATGCCTTTGTCACACAGGGAACGCAGTTTTTATCGAGGTCCACTGGCATCTTTACTGTTACTGCCACTGCCGACAGCAGCATACACTCATTCTCAAGATTGCCTTTTTTACCATCAAAGCAACAGCAGCAGCAGTAGTAGTGCACTTTTGCTGTTGTTCCTTTTGTTGTTTCCTTTTCAATTACCATCGGAAGGCAAATAATCTGCTCTATTGTCCCTGCTTCGGTGGCAGTATTAATCTGGCGATCATCATTACTGGTGTGCACACTAAACTGTCAGAAAGCCATCTTGACTAATCGACCTGCCTTCAGGAGCAGGTGATTCAAGTTGATTCACTTTAGGTGTTTCAAAAGTAACCAGGCCTCTCTACTGGTATGGCAAAGTAATGGTCCTGTACAGACCGACACATGCACAGAGATCCTTGTCCCTATCAGTCCAGTCTTCTTGTCAGCTTGTTTGCTTGTTGGCTGTACAGCAGCACCGATGACGTGAGTGTCTGACTGCCTCGCTGGCTGGCACTTCTCGCACGTCGGCACAGATGCCGATTCACTCACCAATAGCAGCCAGCAGCCTTTATCTCGATCCTAGCGCCATTGGCGCGCTCAGATTATTAGCGCCTTGATTGCAACAATTGATACCAGACAGTGTGTGTATGTGTGTATGTATGTATGTGGTGTGTGCCTTGGTGATCGCCGTAGTGCTATGACTTCTCGCGTCTTCTTTCCGCCGCTATGACCGAGTGCCCGTACCAGTGCTTCAGTGCTTTTCCAATTGGTGCCGCAGATGCATCTGCTAGTGATGTTGCACTGGTCGCCAGTAGTGCTCCAGTAGCAGCAGCAGCAGAAGAAGCGTGTGTACATTGTACTTGATTATATTCATTAACCAGTTTGCTTTTTCATTGCCGCCAAATTGATTCTACCACTGTACTGCATTTTGAACTCTGACCTTGCATTGGCGCGCTCCACTGGGAGAATTGCAAATTGTGGCCCTAATGGGGTAACACTCTGCTCTAACTCTGCACTCATCAGTCTTTGCTGTGACAGCTTGTTCGCTTGTTCGCCACCGCACTCGGTTCTTGAATTCTTGTTCTTGTGCTGAAAGTATTACCTGAGGGAGGGTCAGTGTACCTTTCTCCTTCAGCCAGCTCAAAGCCACTTCTCCTTTTCTCTCTTTCTCTCCTTAGTGCACGTTCTCTGCTCTGTGTTTGGGGTAGCCAGGCATTTGTTTAGTGGCACTGCCGCGTGAGTGAAGCAAGTGCCTGTGCAAAGAACAACCTGCCGAGTGCTCAAGTCAGAGTCTGATCACCGTGGTCGTGCTGCTGCCGCTGCTGCGGTTGTTCTCTCTGTGGCGTTCGACAGCGACGGCGGCAAACCANACCTGCCGAGTGCTCAAGTCAGAGTCTGATCACCGTGGTCGTGCTGCTGCGGTTGTTCTCTCTGTGGCGTTCGACAGCGACGGCGGCAAACCAGTTTCGGTCGCTGTTAATTACATCTACGTACGTAAATTCGCCTGCAATATTAGGCTTGTCTTTGCAGCAAAATCTGCAGCGGCTGCTGTCACTAAGAAGAAAGAATCTTAGTTAGCCACGTAAAAAGCCACAGTGAAAGTGCCCTCATGCCGAAAGAGGTCGTCGTTGCGAATGTGTCCAGCCAGTAGTTGTCGACGTCTCCGAGTAGTACTCCTACTCTCCCATTTTCTTCTTTTCCATTACTGTCTAGAGAGTACATTGCGTAGCCGCCAGTCGATACTCTCCACAAGCACTGCACAGGCTACAATGAAGGTGTTGACAGAGTCAGCATTTTTTTGCTATCATAAGATTTAGAGCTAGTTCCATATTCTATTCTATTGTTGTCTGTTCAAAATCAGTACCAAAAGATTGAGAACTTTTCTTGACTCGCATTATGTTCTCCGAGTTTTTTTTTCTTCTAATTAATTAGCTAGCAAACTAGATTGTGCCCATCGATTGAGTGCATCGGCAGTGCCATTTCGCCGCCATTTTTTAGCATTGCAACAAGGCTATGCTGCANTATTTTCTCAAAGTTTTTCTTTTTTTCTAATTAATTAGCTAGCAAACTAGATTGTGCCCATCGATTGAGTGCATCGGCAGTGCCATTTCGCCGCCATTTTCTAACATTGCAACAAGACTATGCTGCAGCGGGTAAAGCCTTGCCATTGCCGCAATCACGAGCAGCAGCACGGGTCGCCGTCACCGTCGTCGCCGCCGTCGCTCTTTGAAATATCATTACTCGGCGCTCGGCGCCACTGCATCTTCCCCTTCCTTCTTCTGCGCTGGCAATCATAATGATGCTGCCAGTGTGCGCCATTGACGAGTGCGATTGAAAGTGTACGTCTGTCTGTGTGTGAGCTGATTCTGCTGTTGGCTATTGTTCGATTCGGCGACTGAAGCGGTAAAAGGGGCCGATTCTGCCTCGGTTAGCAGCAGCAGCAGCACTGTCGTCGTCGTTGTCGCACTGCTGAAGCAAACACTACTGCCTTCATCGGTCGGGTAAGGCAAAGGCAAGGTTGGCAGCATTAGCCTAAGCAGACTGGCACGCTATTTTAAGAGCGATTCAGCCGTCTGCCGATGGATTCACGAGCTGGTGAGGCTCATGGCGAACTGGCAAGCCTGGAACTGTGCACGCCAGCGNCCTAAGCAGACTGGCACGCTATTTTAAGAGCGATTCAGCCGTCTGCCGATGGATTCACGAGCTGGTGAGGCTCATGGCAAACTGGCAAGCCTGGAACTGTGCACGCCAGCGATGCTTATTGAGCTCAGACGCTGAGCTTTATATTATTCGGCGATAATCTCTCTCTCTCCCTCNGATGCTCATTGAGCTCAGACGCTGAGCTTTATATTATTCGGCGATAATCTTTCTCTCTTTCTCTCTCTTNCGAGCTGGTGAGGCTCATGGCGAACTGGCAAGCCTGGAACTGTGCACGCCAGCGATGCTCATTGAGCTCAGACGCTGAGCTTTATATTATTCGGCGATAATCTCTCTCTCTCTCTCTCTCTAATTCTTTTTGCCAGTCTTAGTTTTAAATAGTCACTTATTCCGCTTTCAGCACTTCAGTCTATCTCTTTCGGTATAGTACACTGTCGATGGGCCAGATGATTGCGCTACACTTGCACACCGACCGCCACTTTCGTTGATACTCTATCAGCCAATCATTTGCAGATGACTCACCTTCTTCACTTTCTCTCTCCCAATAGACTACAAGAGCCATTCAGCCGTTTATGACTGAGATTTCCGTAAAGACTGCTGACGGTGACTGAAGATATAAACAATGCAAAGTATGCATAGACGAGGAATCCTCTGGCACCCTCATCATCATCATCAGCATGAACATTCTCGATAAGCAATCGCCGAACGGGACGGGCGGCGGCAGTGTCGCCTGTGCCCAGTCCTCCTCAGTGCAGCCACCCAGTGTCCAGGGTGGCCCCATGACGCCCTCCTCGGCAGACTGCCTTCTAGGCAACTCATCGGCACTGATGCCCTCCTCGCTCTCTGCCCCGCCACCTCCGCCCTCCTCTGTGGGCCCCTCTTCGGTGTCCTCCTCCAGTGCCCCGCACACGCCTCTCGACTCGCTGAACAACACTGTCAACTGTCAACAGCAACAGCAGCAGCAGCAGCAGCAGCAGCCTCCTGATCTCATCTCTAATAATGGGCTGTCCTCCACTCGACCAAACGTCTCCACGCCGTCCTCTGTCTTCAACAGCAGTGCCCCCAACACCCCGATGCCCTGTTCAGTGGGCTCCGATGCGCCCATCACCTCGCCCGCCATCAACCACCAGATGGAGATGTACAACAGCGGCGGTGGTGGCCCAGTCGGACCTCCACCCCCTCCCTCCCAAGTGCTTTCAGGCAACAATAACATGAGCAACTCCGNCAGCAGCAGCCTCCTGATCTCATCTCTAATAATGGGCTGTCCTCCACTCGACCAAACGTCTCCACGCCGTCCTCTGTCTTCAACAGCAGTGCCCCCAACACCCCGATGCCCTGTTCAGTGGGCTCCGATGCGCCCATCACCTCGCCCGCCATCAACCACCAGATGGAGATGTACAACAGCGGCGGTGGTGGCCCAGTCGGACCTCCACCCCCTCCCTCCCAAGTGCTTTCAGGCAACAATAACATGAGCAACTCCGTCATGTCTCCCTCTCCGATGAATGTTCCTCCGCCACTGTGCAGCAACGACAACTCCAACGCCAACATTAGTGGAAACAACGGCGGCGGTGGCAGCAAGAAAGGCGCCATGAGCAATGGAACCGGAAGCAACAAGAAGCATTGCAATAACCGAAATCAGAACAATAATAACAATAGTAATAATAGTAATAGCAACTTTGCCAACATGGGTGTCAAATGTGAAAACAATGCCGCTGTCAATGTCGCAAAAAACCACATGAACTTTCCGCCGCCCAACAGCAACATGGCCTGTGGCATGCCAAATGGTGCTCACAATGGCAGCAACTCACCCTTCGACGCTGACCGTATGTTGAACAGCGCTGACATTTTTTACCCCTTTCAGTGAATAATAACTTCCTTTCTCTTCTCTTCTCTTTACTCGCCGCCACCAGATAAGATGGGCTCTTTTATGAAGTCAGAATTTATAAACGATTTCGGACAGCCAATGCCAAGTAAGTACACACACCATTAGTAGTTGTTGTCAGCAGTTTTCTAATAATGATGATGATGTCAATCTCCACTTGACTCACTCTATTTCTTGTCAGATGAAATGATACCGCCACCGCCTGTAGGGAACATGGCAAGGCCACCAATGAACTGTGGCGTTGCCATGAACATGCCACCGCAGCAACATCAGCAGGCAATGCAGCATCAGCAGCATCAACAGCAGCAGTCGCAGCAACCGGGCAACCTGAATGCGCCACCCGGGAAGATGTGCGCTGGCAACATGCCACCCCACCACGGTCTGATGAAGCCGCCGCCAATGGATCAGCAATACATGCAGTGCCAGAGTCAGATATTCGTCTTCAACACGCTCATGGTGAACCAGGCAGCTGAGGCGGTGGACAACGGCAGCTTCGAGTCCATCATCGACTTTCACCTCTCCAATCCGCATACAAAGAGCTTCATCGAAAAGCACAGTCTGAAGCTTCCCATTCAGAATAAACCAAATAACCTCTGGCAGGGCAATATTAGGCCGCCTCGAATGAGGGGTCCCAATCCCAATGGAATGTGTGGAATCAGAGGGCCGAACAACTTCAACAGCAATCCCTGCTATCCCTACAACCACAACCCTCCTGGTCCCGGACCGGGTGGCGGGCCTCAGTGGAGTGGTCCGAACAACTGGCCTGGCCAGCCACAGCCTCCTTTTCCACCTAATGATATGAACAAAATGGCCAATTGCAATCCACGACCGTATGGACCTCAATACAATGGCAACGCGCCCTATCCTTTAGGTATAAAGTGCTCTAGCAGATCACTGCTCTCCTTTGAATGTTTCTCACTAAAACCACTCTTTCCATTTCTACTTCTCTCCTACAGACATGCAAGACCTGACACCGCAACAGAAGCAGCACCGAGAAAAGCAGCTAGCCATACTGGCCAACCTTCAGCAAAAACTCTGTCCTGAACTAGAACTAGGACCAAACAATCGTCCACTTTCACAACCGCCGCAGCCAAATGAGTTTCCTGGTGTGGATGCAATGGGCAACCCAATGCCGCCACTACTGCCGGAGAACGATCCGATGAATGCAATGCTTCCGTCCGACAGCTACAACCCCTCCTTCCCTCCCAACCCTATGATGTCCAATCAGCCTGGAGGCGGAGGGCCCGACCCGTGGGCAAAGGCGGGCGGGCCGTTTGGCGATGAAAAGCCGCCGCCGCCCTTCAACGGCAGGCGAAAGGGATCTCAGGGTGCTAACCAGGTGGGCAACCAGCACCAATCACCGCTGTCGCAGCAGTCGATCAACAGTCCCAGCTCGTGTGTGACCTCCAGTCCGGGCACTCGAGTGCCCCCACCGCCGTACAACACTGGTCTGCGAACCATGTCCAGTCCTCACCCGGCGTCCCCGGCAGCCACCTCACTCTCACTTCCCTCTCCGCGTATGCACCCCAATGATACGAGGCAACAGTCTTTCACCCCCGGAGGCGTCCGCTCAGGGCCTGCCACGCCTGCCTCTGCCGACGCCGTCAACTGCGGTCAACTGATCAACTCACCAAAGTCTTCCGGTCGGCAGAGCAATACCTCCCCAGGCAGCAGTGCCAACAACAAGAAAGCCAAGTCATCCTCGTTGGAAAATGACTTGGCGATGATGAACGCCTTCCCTCCAAAGACCGAGTCAGCCCAGCTGATGCCAGTGCCCTCGCCCAAACAGATCGACTACAATAACTTTGATGGCCATGAGTTGGTCATTCACAAGCAGCCAAATGCTCACTTTCAAGACAATGAATTGCTCAATCCTGGCGAACTGGGCAATGACCTCTACCCAAATGACTTTATGAACATTTGCTCCTCGGTGAACAACAGCGGCGCACCGCCGAATATGCCTGACATGAACTCCAATCACCGCTTTCCGCCCAACTCATGCAACTACGACTCAAATCCAAAGTTTCCGCCTCCTGATCCCTCTCACAGGTATAGCAATAACAATGGCTTTGCAATGGACGGCTACGGAAGACCCTCGCCCAACTCCTGTCCACCACCTCCTTTCAATCCAAATGAGGCTATGCGATACCCCAACTGTGACCCAGCGAAGAATCGGATCAATTCGCCGGCTGATATCGCCTTCTCAGCAGCCAACTCAATGGACATGAACATGATGACCAACTCAATGCCACCGATGGGCTCAGACGGGCCGCCCTTTGCCAATGGACAGAGTCACAGCTTTGGCGACCACCCTGACAGTGCCATCGGCTCGAGTCACCTGCAGAATCTGCAGAAGATGACTCCGCCATTTGACAAGGATGGAATGATGGCCACCTCCAAGTCAAACATGCCTCCAAATATGGTCAACACCAACAGCAACAGTGGTCACATGGTGCCCAACTCTATGCACCCAAATATACCTCAGAATCCAAATCACCGAATGCCAAACTTTGACCCCTCTTTCCCTCCCATGCCATGCAATGACATGAACGAGCCCAACAGCTTCGGCCCTGGTCCGGGTATGCATCCGCCGAACATGCCACCGATGGGCGGCTATCCAAACAACCAGTTCACCAACTCACCGAGGATGCCTTCCAATGAGCCCCCGTTTGGCATGCACCCGGGAAATCAGTTTCCGGGAAATATGCCGCCAATGAACGGACCACCCGGCGAGCCACCGGGAGGCATGAACGGACCAATGATGATGCCCGGAGGAGGGCCACCGCCGCCGCCGTCACAACAACAACAACAACAACAGCCTCCGAATGGAAGGTTTCCCGGCAATGGCATTCGACCGCCAATGAATCCCTCAAATACTCACAGCACTCGCTACAACTCGCCAAACATTCAGGTGAAGCCTGACGCACCAAACACCATTCAGTACTTGCCCTCTCGACCACAAGGGCCCACCAGTACGCCGCCCAGCAGGCCACCCAATTTGGACTTTTTGCAGCAGTCGCTGAGCATGGGAGGGAAGCCTTCGGGAGGACAACCATTGCAGCCACCGCCGCCACCACAGCAAGGAATGCCGCCAGGTCCGGGCAACAACGTTCCCTACTTTGGACCAGGTGGACCTGGTGGACCAGGGGGGCCTGGAGGGCCAATGGGAATGCCTCCTCGAGGACCGCCGCCGCCGATGCAGGGTCACATGAACTTTAACCCCCGGGGGCAGATGATGCAGAGACCACATCCGAACATGCAGAATGGGCCACCAGGCATGGGCCCAGGTCTTCAGATGGGACCTCAGGGAGGAGGACCCCCACCGCCGGACATGTACAACCGCCCTCCAGGACCGAACAGTATGGTGAACGGGCCTGGGAACATGCCCGGTGGTCCGCCAGGCCCACCAAACTTTGGCGGTCAAGGAGGAGGCAAGGCGGGCGTGGGTCCAATGGGCATGGGTCACCCGGGAGAGCAGTCATTCAACTCATTCAAGCCATCCTTTCCCAATCTGACGTCTGACCCCGCCTATGCGGCGCAGTATCACAGCTTCCAACAGCAGCTTTACGCCACCAATACTCGAAACTCAGCTTCGAATCCTCGAATGACATCTAACTTTTAACAGAAGACAAACTGTACATACTCGTTGCGTGTATATTTCAAATGAATTTACTTGCCATTTTGTACATAACATTTTCTATGTTCACTTTTTTTGTACAGCGCGTCGATGATCACGGTGTGGTCTCAGTAGGCCTCAGTAACGCCAGTAGATGAGAACAATAAAATTGAAAAGCTATAAACAGAGTTGACTATAAGCACATGTTTCGCATAAACGAGAGTAGTCGTTTCTTTCGGTCAAGTGCCAGTTCAAACGCAATCTCGTCTTCAGGTTTAATGGTTTCACTCTTTTGTTTTTCCACGACAATGTTCTTGAATGTCTTGATCAGGTCCACCTGCAAGTTTTTCATTGGTTGCTGCATTCGCTTTTTTAGCAACTCGTATTTTACATTGCAGGCAAGCATTTTCATAGTCTTTTCATTATTGTTACTGAGACGATCAAGACGGCGCTCTAACTGGGTCAGCGTATCAGCCTTTTCGTTGTCCTTTTTGTGGTTCTCTTGTTGAGAAGCGGTCTCCACCAAGCCTCTTGACTGCAACACATTTAACACTGACTTCTCAATAATATTTGCTTGAACTTGAGATTTAGGGAGATGCTTTGTTAAAATGGCTTTTAGTTCCTCTTTTTGCTTGCACCCTTTCTCGCTGTCAGTGAGAATAAGGCTCTTCATTAGACGTCTTGTATACGGTCCGATTTTGGTTCGTCTAGATATTTAAAGAAGATACAGATTAGTGAATTAATACTTTTATATCTTTTCATACTTTTTGAATCTTCCACCATTGTTGGCATGATTACCAATTTGGTTTTTAAGGGCAACATCAAACAAATCTTTAAATTCGGTTTTACTTGATTGCTTGCCATATTTTTTGTTTCCAATTTGACGAAATGGAACATTTCCACTAAGGTAATCTTCGAGCATCTGAAAATTGAATCAATTAAAAACTGCCAAAGATTTTAAGCAATGTACCTTTAGATGAGATTCATTCAAATCAAACGATTGAACAAAATTCCAAAAACGCGTTGGCATCGCATCTTCATACAGAGTTGTAATCTGAGACTTGAGCATATTGTCAATCATGTCTACCTTTGGAGTTTGAGTTTGCCCCTTAAATATAAAAACGCTTTAAAACTTGTAGTTTTTTGCACTAAAACTCGCTTACATTATTGTCAGTGCCTGATGCAGCATCATAACCCTGTTCACTTTGTAGCTGTTGTTGATATTTTTCGTAGTTAGTAATTTTTAACTGCTTTAACAATTCTTCAGACTCTTCTAGTTGTTCTGGAGGTATAGCTTTGATTTTATTCCTTAAAATGCACTTTCGCTTGGCAGCATCGGTGGCCAGTATTTCCAACTGCGCTTGAAACACGTTCAGGTCATCAATCGATATAGTGCTGTCATTGTTTGTAACAGCTAAAAACAGAGTTAAAATATGCTCATATTGATAAAGAATAAAAAACATTACTTTGGTAAAACAGAGGAACAGCGGTTGGTAGATCAAGTGGTTCATATTCAAAGTTACAGTTGAGAATTTCTTCGACATCCATTATCTCACTTTGGCTGGGACTCGGTGAAACTTTACTTGGAGAATCCATTGGAGAGAATTTCTTTTATCGACAACAACGGCTAAATGGAATATTTGACTGAAAACAAAAACAGCTGACACCGACGCGAGCGAGAGAAAAACAAGGAATACTTTTGGCTCTGCAGCACAGGGAAAACTACGAGCTCGTAAGTTTTCCTCTCTCTCTCTCTCTCTCGGGTTACTTCTCTGCTGATCAATACTTCACTCCAGTCAGAAACAACAAACAAAGTTGACAAGATCTAAAAAGCACATATTCAAACAATCATGCCAATCATGTCAAATTTTACCAGTGACAGCAAAAAGAAAAGTGAAAATGATAATCAAATAACGGCAATCATCCTTTGCGAGTTTGATAACAAACTCGGTCCAATCATTAAGTACCAAGTATGATGCGGAGACTTCTTTTTTGGAGTATTTTTGAGTATTTACACACCCCTTTCTTACTAGCATCCCAAAGATTACATACAAAAAAGTACGTTTGAGTCACTGAGTGTTTACTTGATTCCAAAATCAGAGCTTCACGGTAAACTTATTACAATGTAAGTAGAATGCTACATTAAATATGTCCAGTTTTCATAGTTTGTTTACTTGCAGAAATGCCTTTGGACACAAAATTCTTGGCTATCCTGTCAGCATCAAGGACAGCAAAAAGTATCAACGCAACCAGCTTATATTCAATCTTTGTTTTGTCTTTTCTGACACTTCAAGAACAACCCAATATGAGCCAATCATTCAGAAACTTGCCCGTTATCTCATTGACCTGGAGGGCGAAATGGGATTTATCTCCAATAATGACGGTCAATCAAATCTGCTCACCAATAGCCTAAACAACATTAAAAAACAGCTCAACAATGAAGGACTTTGTATCCTTTCTATCTGTACGTAAAAAGTTTGTCTTATTCAATTTTAATTATTCAGAGAATTGAATTTTTTGTTTCCNTCAAATCTGCTCACCAATAGCCTAAACAACATTAAAAAACAGCTCAACAACGAAGGACTTTGTATCCTTTCTATCTGTATGTAAAAAGTTTGTTTTTAATTTTAATTATTCAGAGAATTGAATTTTTGTTTCAAGCCGAATCAACTACAATTCACCTCAAAGTGGCCAAAGTACAGCCAGAACCGGGGCGAGTAGAAGATTATCATGTACCGGTGGTCATTCACTCTGACACTCTCACAAACTCGAATATATCTTTGTGGGATCTTACCACACAACAGGTGCACTTCTTTGCATTTATTCAAAGCTTTGAAAAGCTAACCTTAATGTTCAATGTAGATATTCAAACACATCAATGGATTAAATCACGTCTCGAAAATTGCCTCTGAAGCGGATGTCGAGGTAAATCTGGCAAAGGCGTGTATTCAGAATTTGATCTACTATGGTGTTGTGGTACTGGCACCAATTTTCCAATATTCAAACGTCTACGTGACCACACCAAAGATATGCAGCCTTATTGAAAGTTCAACTCTACAAGAGGAATGCTTACTGTAAATATCACTCTTTAACATATTTGCCTGCACTTTGAGTCCTGTCCAATTAATGATCAACAATCCTTTCTAGATCTGTTCGCCATTGCGATTCACAGTTCGTGCCTTCCATCCGAAAAGTGCTTCTGCTGTACAGCAACATGTGCCCAGGCATGACTGTCAAAGACCTGTGCCAACGGTTCAGCCCATTTCAGAGTGGCATTGATGAACAGAAGCTAGTCAAATTCGGACTTATGAACGGTCTCATTCGTCGCCTTCAAAAGTTTCCCATAAACTTGTCGCCGAACCCCTTCACGTCGAACAAAGATGCCATCAGCTTTTTTGATGGAAAGCATTCATATGATCAAATTAGCTGTACGCTTCATAAAAGTTACGCCGAAATTGAAGATGTTGTTGAGCAGAACACGTCTACAGTTGTTTGCTGGAAATAGTTTGGACGTTTCCTTCACCATATTGCAATCAAATGACTATGTATGAACTTGCTGATTAGCCAACTTTTGCATCGAATTTGATAAAACATTTTCAAAAAAAGTTAGAAAAAATCACGACTATTACGACAATGATGGCAATAGGCACATGCGTTTGTTTACGGTTTGATGCGGCTGTTGCACTGTTTGATTTTCAGAGCCTTTTGAAGGGAATACATCTTTCTTTTCTTAGGAATTTTTAAAATTATGACTCAAAAAGAGGACAAGTTTGAGTGCGAGGTCGACTTTTCCGAAAGTCACAACTTTGGCCATTTGTCTTGGATGGTCAGACCGTGTGAATGGTAATGGATATCTTTCTTTCATTCTTGCACATTTTTATTTTTGTTTTTCGTTGCAGGTATCTTCAAGAGTATACCGATTGTAAATGTATGCATTTTGAAAATGGACAAATATAATGTTTCCAGCTCTCATATAATCGGTTTTTTCTCTGCAGCAATTCGAGGCAGAATGNTCCAGCTTTCTTATAATCGGTTTTTTCTCTGCAGCAATTCGAGGCAGAATACATCAATACTTTGTGGGATCTGATGGCTCCTATGATANGGTATCTTCAAGAGTATACCGATTGTAAATGTATGCATTTTGAAAATGGAGAAATATAATGTTTCCAGCTTTCTTATAATCGGTTTTTTCTCTGCAGCAATTCGAGGCAGAATGCATCAATACTTTGTATCTGGCACCTTAAATGATTGTGACGGCTGGCGTGATGATCACTACAACTGCTCAATGTTTCGAAAAAATCAAAGCCCTGATCTTCTGGTAAGTGTGTGTTGTAATTAATTTGAATTTAATTTAAATTTGAAGTATAATCAAAACTACATGTTCTGACTTAGAACCGATTAATTGAAAGCGAGCTGGCTCGTAAAGAAAAGCGCTTCGCTCAGTCAAGGGCAAATGACGTTTGGGAGTATCGTGCAGAGCCGCCCTCTGATTGGAACCGACCGGTGAAAAAGATGAGCAGCACAAGTGCCAATTAGTAGTATTATACTCAAGTAGTGCAATTGTAATTTACATTTTAACAACGCCGCTATGCAATGTACAGTAGTATATCGTCTATTTTGTTAGTTCTGATGAACCGCCGGTGATATGATGCCAGCGCCACAATAAACCACTAGTCCTCTGGATTCTCAACTACCAGAGGTCATGTAAATTACTTTACACTCATGTTCGCTGTTGCAAAGACAAAAAAACTGAGGCTGATTAGGAAGTCATTAAATGATATCGAGCAGCAGCACAGCACTGCAGATATCCGCCGTCTGTCTGCGGTGGAAGCTTGCCGCTTACGACACTGCCGACAATCTGCCCCTCTGTTTACCGATGGCAAAATTACTCAAACCAATTGCAATGTTTGTCCAATATTATCAAGTGCTCTTCACCAGCAAGCAAACTTTGCCACTTCCTTTGCCACCATCAGTGGCATCATCAGCAACGCCGGCGGTTGGTCGAAGGCTGACGCTCAATTCACGTTTGCACATTTAGTGTCGCCACTCTACTGAAAAGTGCCGGTCAAGTGTTTTCTCCACTGGAACTTGGCCTTTTTTAGAGCGTCTGACTTTTTTTCGCAGAGATGGATCCCCCAGAGAGCAGGCAGCACTACCGCAATGCGACAGCATTGCACTGTCAGTTTCAATGATACCATCAGTTGCCGCATGACCGCAGTGAATCACACACACGCAGACAGACAGTCACACAGCTCATTACTGCCTGCACAGGCAACTAACTGTCATCGGTCAGCGGCAGTGCAATGCACCGCACAAGTGAAATCATCAGTTGAGCAAATTGGTCGGAAACCGCCCCAATTGAGATGCTCTCGAATAATTAAAGTGGAGAAGGAGGACAGGGAGAAAGGGCACATCGTCGAGGTGAGCAATTGATGGCACCGGTGCACCGGTGGAAGAGCCATCAGATCGGATGCTCACACAGTGTCTGGGTAGCAGAGTGGCTGGGGAGTCACTCCGGCAACTGTGCACCTTTGCGCCTTGATTGGCGCTCTTCTTATCACCGGGTGCTGCCTAACTCGATAGCTACCACCACAGCCCTGTGATGCGCGGCGTGTTGAGGAGGATAGAGAGGTGGCGCAAGCTGCTGCCGCCGCCAGAGAACTGCTACTATCACACAAGGCAAGACATCGCAGCAGCCTGAGTAGTAGCAGCAGGAGCACTGAGTTGGTAGTACAGGCAGCACTGATGTTGACGCTTCCTCTGCCAGCCAGTGAATCATTATGCAACGATCACTGTAGCACTGCAGCAGACACAACCACCACAGCGACCAGCAGCAGCAGCAGCACAACCACCAGCACGACCACTGCTGATCGTTCCGCCGCAAGCAACACCACCAGGACCACTGACTTGCTGCTCAGATTCAGTCGCCGTTACTTGCCACCACCGATCACCACTTTCCGGAGTAGACGCCAACCTGCTCCGTACTCACTCTTTGCCACTTTCTGCCGTCCAATTATCGCAGTAATCAGCACTGTTGACCATCACCGCCACCCCCATCACCACCGCCATCATCATCACTTCAGCTGAAGCCACTTTCACTGATCACCTGTGCCAGTAGCATCAATTGTTCACCACTAACCACACCCATGGACATCGCTTCAGGACTAGCCGGGCTGTCTTTAAATGATGAACAGCAATCGGCGCTGAATTTGCTTTTCCTCAAGGTATATGCCGCCACTTCTCTACACCGTTTGCAGTAGGCTTGTTGTTGTTATCTCTTCTTGTCACGACTGTCTGATTGTCATCGCTGGTGGGGCGCCAATCGGCGACTGTCAATAGCCATAGCCGCACACCTTATTAACCATGGTTTATGCTTATTAATTGTCAGGTATTGAGCGATTTTTCCCTCTGCCTGCCAACACTATCAGCGTAGACTGGAGCATTTAAGCAAATATTTGTGCACTTCTTGAAAGTGATTAAGCATTATTTAATTGCTTATCTACGTTTTTCCATTCAGAACGATAGTAGCTTGGATGTCACCCAGGTAAAAGAGGGCCTGGACCTGGTCGGCTTCAAGATACCGCTGTGGAAGGTTCGCGGCATTTTTGATGAGCTCGAAAAGAAAAAACCAGTGCAAGATAAGGGCCGCCTATCAAAGAATGAGTTTTTCAAGCTGTGCAATGACCTTCGATCGCAGGACGTGGCTCAGTCCTTCAAATCGTCAATTTCCAAACGAGGAAATCTCGAGACATTGGGCGGAATGAGTGAAGCCAGCTCCAGCGGAACTACTCACTCGGTCAGGCATGAAGAACAAGTTGCCTTTTCCGATTGGATCAATACGTAAGATACAACTGACAAAAATGGGGAAGGTTTTATTTACGATACTTTTTTATGCCAAACAGCAATCTTTCCCGAGACTCAGACCTAAGGGAGCTGTTGCCAATTGATGCTGAAGGAAAATCTCTTTATGAAAGGGTAAAAAGTGGTATCCTTTTGTGGTAAGTTGGTTCAGCTGATGAAATAGAGTAAACGCTTATCACTATTTCTCCAAACAGTAAAATCATCAACCATTCCTGTCCTGATACAATTGATGAACGTGCCATAAACAAGAACAACCTGAATGTCTACACGATGCACGAAAATTTAACACTCGCGCTAAACTCAGCACAATCGGTAATTGACTACTGACTTTTCTAGTGTCCCCCATTGCTTAATTATACCATTTTGTATTCACTGTCAGATTGGATGCAACATCATCAACATTGACGCTCACGACCTTTCCAAAGGAAGGCCTCATCTGGTTCTCGGCTTGCTGTGGCAAATCATTCGCATTGGTCTATTCAATCAGATCACCATTGAGCACTGTCCAGGTCTAGTGAACCTTCTTGGAGAAAATGAGGAGATGTCTGACCTGCTGAAGCTGTCACCGGAGAGCATTCTCCTTCGATGGGTGAACTTTCAGCTGGAAAAGGCCGGTGTGAACCGCCGCATCACCAACTTCACCTCAGACATCAAAGACTCTGAAGTTTACACGCACCTTCTTCATCAAATTGCACCAAAGGAACGAAACGTCACCAAGGAGGCATTGCGAATAAATGATCTCCTGGAGAAGGCAGAGGTCATGCTGACGCAGTCTGACAAGCTGGGATGCCGCAGTTTCCTCACCCCACAGAACGTCGTCGATGGCGTGTACAAGCTCAATCTTGCCTTTGTAGCTAATTTGTTCAACAACTATCCTGGGCTAGACACTCCGGAGAACATTGAGCCACTGGAGACGATTGAAGAGACACGAGAAGAGAAGACTTACCGCAACTGGATCAACAGCATGGGCGTCAATCCTTACGTCAACTGGCTGTACAGTGACCTCGCCGATGGACTCATCATCTTTCAGGTGAGTTTCAAACTGTCATTAATTTAGCAAAAGTTTAATTTACTGTTTTTGTTTGCTGCAGTTGTATGACATTATCAAGCCAGGCATCGTCAACTGGTCACGTGTGCACAAGACCTTCAGTAAGCTAAAGGGATTTATGGAAAAGCTGGAAAACTGCAATTACGCCGTTGAGCTGGGCAAAAAGCTAAAATTTTCATTAGTTGGAATTGCCGGGCAAGATATTAGTGAAGGAAATCAAACATTGACCCTTGCTCTCGTCTGGCAACTTATGCGTGCCTACACTTTGACCGTCTTGTCCCAGCTGGCTTCAGATGGCCAAGAGACAATTGTGGAAAGTAAAATTGTCGAGTGGGTTAATGAAAAGGTTTGTTTGTTCTTAGGCGCACAATGATTTGCCGGTGATTGACCAATGTTTCTACCGATAAAACAGTTGAAAGACGCTGGAAAGACATCAGCAATCAGGGGCTTTAACGACTCCTCCATTACAACGGCCATTCCAGTGATTGATCTCATTGACGCCATTAAGCCTGGTTCCATCAACTACGGACAGATTCTGTCCGGGAAAAACCACGAGGTAAGTCATAGTTAGAGGGAGCGTTCCTGGTTCTGATGCACTTTTTTTCACTCTGCACAGGAAAAGTTGGCCAACGCCAAGTACGCCATTTCCATTGCTCGCAAGATTGGCGCTCGCATCTACGCACTACCTGAAGACATTTCCGAAGGGAAGCAGAAGATGGTGATGACAGTATTTGCCTGCTTAATGGCGAGGGATTACATTCCTAATTTGGGAACCAAAAGCGGTGAGCAGCAGGAGAAGCAGCCGGAGCAGGAGCAGCAGGAATGAGCTCATCGCCAGCCCACCTCTACCACGACGACGACCATCACCACCACCACCAGCACACACCACTCACTCACTTGTTGCATTTACCTCCAATGTGGCCATGAAGCAATAGCTCATCGAGCGCTGTAGTTCGATAGCAACCATTTTTTATTTGTAACAAATTTATTATTTTTTAAATGCGTTGATTTGCCGTCTCTAGGCTAACCACTTTTTTATCATACAATGAAATTTTAAGTTTAATTCACAGATTTTTATAATATACAAAAGCCAAAAGTAGATGTCAAGCGTACTGAATAAATAACATTGAGCAAAAAAATTACTTGTAATTTACCCTGACAGTTTGTACAATTTGACTACGTTTTCACTTAGGCATGAAATGATGGGACTTGAAGAGAAGTGCTGATCATGGATCATTTCAATGTCAACTATTGGTGGCTGTTGAGTGATGTTAGATGTGTTGAAGCGGCTTTGACTTGCGTTATAATCCCAAAAAATGGCACCATTAGAGGCTTCATCGCCAGCGCAAAGAATGACGTTCTCATCGTTTAGTGGATTGGCGTACATCTTCGAACGGGGAAAGACTGTACTTTTAGTTCCACCTTCAAAGATGTTGACGATATTTGGAATCAAATTAGATGAAGTGTTTTCCACAAACGATAAGACCTAAAAACAAAAACTTGTAATGAATGTTTTCTGTCAAATAGTTTTCAACATACCAAATGAGTCATTTTCTCATGCTTTGGAGAAGGTCGACAAGAAAGCAACGAAAGACCGCTTTTAGAATCGAACCATGTTGAAGCAAATCTGCCCTCAATGGGAATCCTTTCCATTTTGTAATCACTCGAAGAGGGATCGATTCCGTTGGAAAAGATGAACAGTGAACAAGTGTCCGGCTGTACAGACAAGAGGGCAGTTCTCTTGGAGTTTTTCTCGCCGAATTCAATGGTACTGAGAGAGTAAACGGGAGTTTGAGTTGGTGCTCTTAGTGACAAGACACTTTCGTTGAACTTTCGCTTGTCGCGCACTGAAATGACACCACCATTTAGTCCGATGAACAAAAGATTTGGCCGGTTTTCGTAGAAATGAACGCTCCAAGGAGCCACTTCAAAAGTTGAAGACAAGTGCGTCTCTTTAGACATGAAAGATGAAATTTTGATTGTTTTGTCCAAAGACACGGAAGCGATGGTGCTGTCATATTTGTTGATAACCATGTCTCTTATTGGCTCCGTGTGAATGTTGATCATTTCAAGTCTTCCGCCGGTGTTCAAAGGAACCTTTTTGATGCCGAATTTCGGAAATCTGCTGTTGTCCTGTTTCGCACTTGTCGTAGAAATGGCTAGCGATTCAGTTAACGAAGAGTAGCACTGACGACGGCAATTTCCCTCATTAATGGCGAAATCCCTGAAGAAAGTGACTTTGAACATGGTAGTTCTACTGGACATGTAATTCTTGATGTTTGCGTCAATGCTTGTTGCCGAAATGTTGCTTTTCATTTGTTTCAGAGATAATACTGTGCACTCCAAAGTTTCTTTTTCACTTATAAGACGCTTGTTCAAAGCTTGCGTTTGTTTGAGTATCGTCTCCAAAGTGCTGTTTTTCTGTTCTAAAACTTTCATTTTGGCATATGTTTCGTCCCTTTCCCAGGTGTCTAAAGGTCTGACACAACGAGAGTAAATTTTGTAAATATCGCGTCGCTTGGCAGGCTTGTTGCACTGTGGACATCGATTGTAGTTTCGCGAAGGTGCAAGCCAATTTTCGATGCAACTTTTCCCAAAAAGGTGACCACACTTGAGAGCAACAACATGATGCGAATCGCTGGTCGTCCACATTTCCGTGCAAATAACGCAAGTGTTTTCCGTGTCCATTTGGGTTGCTGAAATGTTCAAAGCAGAAGTGTTTGCTGTGGCTGTAGATTCGGAATCGGTGGCTAGTCGGTCATTCAATAAGTTGGCACCAGCGTGATTTTGTTGACTAGCAGAGGGCTGGTTTGGAGGGGCTTGGTTCGGTTCAGCATTGTCATTGTTATCGTGGTCCATGTGGTCATTATTTTCTTCATTCTCATGGCTAATTTCTGATTCATTGCTACTGTCATCACTATCATCCTCATCGACAGTCATATCAGAGTCCTCGTCGTCGTCGTCCTCGGGAAAGCGCTCAAACAAATCATCATCGTCTTCTTCCTCATCTCCAAGAACAATTAAGTCATCATCAGCGAAATCGTCTTCGGCGTAATCCTCAGACATGTCAGAGAAGAGGAAAACGTCTCTAGACACTTTTTGAGGTGAAGTTTTATTTAGAAAGTTTAGAGAGCATGCGGCCGAGTAAAGCTGCTACAGTAGTGATGAAAGCGACAGTTCGCCACCAAAACAAACGAACCGTTGACTGCTGTAAACATTTCTACTGTTGCGTCATCAAACTGCTGCAAGATTTCCCTTTTAGAACCAACCGCTCATTTTTTTAGCAGCACAGTCGGCAAAAATATNAGAGAAGAGGAAAACGTCTCTAGACACTTTTTGAGGTGAAGTTTTATTTAGAAAGTTTAGAGAGCATGCGGCCGAGTAAAGCTGCTACAGTAGTGATGAAAGCGACAGTTCGCCACCAAAACAAACGAACCGTTGACTGCTGTAAACATTTCTACTGTTGCGTCATCAAACTGCTGCAAGATTTCCCTTTTAGAACCAACCGCTCATGTTTTTAGCAGCACAGTCGGCAAAAAGAAAAGCAACTTTATGACATTCTCGGCATTTTAAAAAACATGGTCAGCCCGCTCTTTCCATCGCTGACACCACGCTACGTCGATGATTGCTGGTTCAGCTTTGACACGCCCTTTGATGAGGACCTCGCGCTGAGTACGTTGGAGAAGGAGTACCAGAATTTGATTCAAGAAATTGAAAACCGAGACCAGCCAGTTGACGTCGCTTTGAACAACTCTGATAATGATGAGGATGAGGATGAAGATGAAGATAACGAAGACGACGACGACGAGGATCAAAGCGAGGATGACGATGATGAGGATGACAATGAGGAAGATGATGAGTTTGAAGAAGATGAAGTAGTGCCATTTAATAATAACAACTTTAATAACAACACCGATTACTGAATTTTTTTTATTGAATAATAAATATTTTACATGAAATGCATTTTAAAACTATTATTTAATTGCTTTGTTTGTGATATTTTTTGAGTTTCTGATAAGATTTTGGAAAAATTCTTCTGCCTTTAGCATTCTTTTCTCGACAGACGGCGCAGCTGTTGCATTTGACTCAAATTATTTGAGCAGTCGTGGAAGTGTTTTGTATTTTTTCTCAGGACGAATTGTCAAACTGAAGTTTCAGCATTTTCAAATCTTAAATCTTTTTAAAATAAACAAAATTGAGGCATCAAAACTGAAATTAATGGCTCCAGCAATGCTTTCTGGTAAGTTTGTCTATTACAACACAAAATAAACACTACATTTTGAATGTTTATCTGTTCCACTCTACAGAATCTGAAGTGGAGCTGAAGCCATTCAGTATGCGTCAAGCGACCATGGCAAACTTTGTCATCAATGAGAAACGGTCTATCTACCGGGCTCATGCAATATCAGTGAGTAGATATCGAGAAGACTACTTGGTGCAAGATGCTGAAAAGTCAAAACAGCTTCTTCAAGAACTTTTACAAGATAAGGTAATATCACTTATATCAGTGCCAATTCAACATTACCAATAAAACTGTGCCTTTAGATAAACGCGGACATTCACAAACTGCTGACAAGCTACTACGATTCATACTTTAAACCAGCGTTTTGCAATATTCGAGAAAACTTGAAAAGTGATCAGGAATACAAGGAGACTACCACTAAGCAGCTGTTTGCCGATATTTTGGATAAAGCGAGAAAGAGGTACGAAGATGGAGATCCTGCACCACCAGTTATTACTGAAAGTCCCAAAACACCGCAATCTCCGTACTGTCGAACAAGAGGACGCCCCAGAGGATCAAAGCAAAAGCTAAAGATGAAAGCAAAGTCGGTAAGTGTCAAGAAGAAGACACTTGCCGTTGAAGCGAAAAAAGACATTGCCGATTTGTACGCTTTTGAGTCTGAGCCATCGTCCCCCGTCTCAGTGGAGGACACCTTTGATTTGATCAGCAGCACTTCGCCCGGCGCTGTGCCATAAGAATGACGCCAAAGAAGCATTTATTGCATCTGAATTCTTTATTATGCCTCGAAGTGACAAGTGAACACAATGGTATTGTTGAGTGGGGGAGAAACAGTGATAGCAAAGTGGTGGGCAACTTAGTAAATTGAACTTTTATTTACAAACCGATCTCATGTACTAGAAATTGTATAGAAATTGTATAATGTTGTATTCGTAGCAGTGTAAAGTTAATAAACATTGAAATAGCATTTGTTTCACATACAATGCTGCAGTTTGATAAGTTGGCAATTGAATAGTTCAATAGTGTATGAGTGTGTGAGTCAGTCTGTGCTCAGAAGTAGAGCTCCTGTTGGACAGAAGCGGAAAGAGAAAGAAATAGAGTGCTATTAGAGAAATGCAAATCAGGTCAGTGCAGTGGGCGACTTGTTGTTCTTATCGTCGGAAGTTGTTGGCATTAGCAGTCAACAATGGGGTAGTATTGCCTATCGAGAAACTAGCGAGTATGTGAGGGGCACCAGGGGTGTAGTGTTGTACAGCTCAGTTGACGGGGGAAGAAATACTTGCTGGAAGGAAAGAGAGAGTGGAGCGATAGGTACTGCGCGCGGGTGGGAACAGTTCCAGGAGGGGGACAGAGAGAGAGAGAGAGAGAGAGAGAGAGAGCAAGATTGGGCAGAGAGGGCATTCAGTCAGTACAGTGTGCAGGGGTGGGTGGGTGGTTGGCTGGCCGCTGAGATCGATGCTTTCAGTGCTTAGTAGTTCTGGTTGCGAGTATGGTAGGCGCCGTTCAGGTGAGTGAACATCTTTTGCTTGCGAATGATAGGACCGTTTCGCTGTTTGGCCACCAGGTTCTGACGCTTGTAGTTCTTTTTGGTAATCTTTTCGTAGTTCTTCTTGGGGAACGCTGTTTCGCCATTCTGCTGGATATTGGCAGTGAGTGCTGTGTGAGGAAAAAAAGAAACAAACAGAAGGCGCGCTATTAGAAGAAGAAAGTGGAGGCAAATTCAAAAGAGAGGCATCAACTGATGGACGCATAAGGGATGCAGGAGGAGTTCGGTGAAGTGCAGTGTTGCCAACTTTAGTCACTGACAGTCGTCAGTAGACAGAGCAGAGCGCTGTGACAGAGAGTGAAGGAGCGAGAGGTGGAGGAGGAGGAGGAGAAGAGGCAATGGCAACAACAACAAACAATTCAATGTCACTCGTAGCTCGTCAAGGATCCCACTACAGCTGCTGTACGTCAGTAATGCAGTACTCGTACAGAACACAACACAACACACACACAC